AATAAATAAATAAATAAATAAATAAATAAATAAATAAATAAATAAATAAATAAATATTGATGGCAAGAGGGATGGTGCTAAACACTGGGCAATTATAGGGAAAAACTTGATTCAGTCTGCAAGGGACCTGGAAATGGGATGGAGATTCACTTGTCAAGATAGCGATCCTAAACACAAAGCTGAAGTACTATTGGAATGGGTTGAAAACAAGAACTTGAATGTCTTAGCTTGATCCAGTTGAAGCCCCAATCTCAACCTGCTTGAGAATCTGTAACAAGATGTTGCTGTTCATTAATGGTCACCACCCAATGTAACAGAGCTGGAGCAGTTTTGCCAGGAAGCCTAGACAAACATTTCAGGGTCCAGATGTGCAAAGCAGAAAGCAGCTTACTCAAGATTCTCAGCTATAGTTGTTGCCAAAGGTGTTTCTACTAAACCTTGACTCAGGGAGTGCAGGTGGGGATGTGCATGTAACCAACAAGTGCCAGGTCAGTTTTGTTTAAATAAAAAATATTTGGCACATTCACAGTGTTGAATATCTTGGATACATCAAGTGTTAACAATTAAATGCATTTTGATTCCAGGTTTTATTGTTACAAAATTTGGAAAAGTCACATGGGATGAATACTTATGCAAGGCACTGTACGTATGAGATGTGGCTGTTGAACATCTTGTCTCCATAAACGTCTTATTCCCCCCTCCATGTATGTTACTGATTTTTTCAGGTCCGTTCAGTAATCAGGAGATGACAGAGTGGTTTCAAGCTGGGTATTTTACAATGTCACTGTTGGTGAAAAGAGCATGTGATGAGAGCTTCCAGCCACTTGGAGACATCATGAAAATGTGGGGCAGGGTCCCTTTTGCTCCATGTCCACCACATCTGCATATGGTAAATACCTGACCAACAGATTAATTTTAAACTAAGAAATTAAGCCAAGACATGTTATTACAGGGCCCCATGTGCAGTTGTTACACCACTACCACTACACTGACTTGGTTTGCATGACAATCCATTGAAGGTAACTAGTCATGGTTAATTGTTGTGTTGTCCAGTCTCAGACCACTTACCACAGGGAGAACTCTTTCTTGCCATAGGCCTCCCTGACAAACCATGGCTTATTTTAGGGGTTGTTTGATCCACAATGGTTTGTTGTGGTTTCTTAACCAACAAAAATACTTGTGTTATGGGGGATTGGCTAGCTAGCTATCTACTTGGCAAGAGCAAAATTCCTGCCCTTCATTACAATCCCTTCCTTTCTGTGCCAGTAACAGTTCCTTTACCAATGCCCAAACTGCACTTTGGAGCAACCATCACTAGTTTACCACTTTTTATTTTTTTGCCCCAGAAAATTGTGCAAATATATTTGTACCTTTTAAAAGTACTATTTTTGTTAGTCTTTTGCTAAAGCACTCTTATGACTGTCCAATAAGGGAGCGTAAAGTGGAGTAGATAACGTACAAGTCAACTGGCAAGGTATATAAACCGATTTGCAAACAGTTTGCCAGGGACAATTTGCCAAAATATCAATTGAAAAGCACTAGAAAATGGAGGAGGAGGAAGCAGCAAAACTAGATGCACCAAAAGCGGAGAGAAACAGTATCTCCTCTTTAGCAATGTAATTCACTTGATTGTAACTGTTGAAGTACCTTTAACCTTTTCTGAACTTCCCTAAATCTGCAGCTATTCCAAAACAGGGAGATGTTAGTTCCTCACAATTCTCATGGTTCCTTTTCAGAGCAGTTACTGCTGCAGTTACAGTGGTTCACTGACGATTCTTAAAAACAATAACCACCCTGAGAAGATGGCTAAATGGAATGGACTGAATAGGGTCACATGGAGTAGAGTGTAAGCACCTCTGGTGCTGGCTTGCCATTTGCTTACTCCTATTCTGCCAGCTGTAAGGGTTAAGAAAACCTATGCAAAACATTTGTATAATCTTTTGGACTGGGAAATGACCACAAATGAAATGGCTGGGAATAAAAGGACGGAAAATTTTTCAAATGTAAGGGCACGGCAGTAAATGGAGGGAAATTTGTCCATGTACAATAACAGCTACTGCAGGTGTGCAGATTCCGCCTCCATTCACTTCACAGTTCTTAGGTTGGCATAATTTTCCCTCTATTTAGTTCCTAGCCATCCCATTTATGCATATTTGGGCTCTTTATAAAAAGAATTTTCATGGAACTTCAATAACTGAAGCAATAACAGCTGTGAAAAGGGGTCATGAAATATGAACCCAGCAGAGCGGTTTGTGCATGTTTTGTGTTAAAGGTTTACAAAGCTGCCTGACAAGCGCAGCACAAACCCCAGTCATTCCTTGCTATGCCCTCTGCCCCACCTCTCTAGCTCCTTGCTTCAGCTCTACACTTCATTTGGCAGTGACCACCTTTGTCCCCATGTGAGCTGAACTAGAACAGCTGTGTCTGTATGTTAGATTTCTGAGTTGGTGCACGCACCCCAGCTTTAGTCCTTGTTATTTTGGGAGAGGGGATTTAAGTTTTCCCCCATTTAATGCCTAAAAGTCCCTTTATTTTTTGTTTTTGTAACCATTGTCCTGAACTGAGGGCTTGCACTTACCAGAGGTAAGCCAGTTGTGCAGTCAGTCATAGTTATGTTAGGAAGAGGAATGGGCTGCAAGGCTTATCATGATTCACGAACTGGCACAGTAAAGGAGTTGTTACCTTGGACTGCAACAGCTTTCCTCACTGTAACTGTTATTAAATAATATTTTTAAGACCCAAAGGTATTTGGGCACTACTTCAGTATACTCCACGACTGTACAAGCACTGGATTTGCTACTGGACACAGAATTTCTCATTCCCAAAAATGTTGGTTTTATTACTTTAAGAGCAACCTTTAAGTTTGTGTGACTCTGATAATAAGCTTGAAAGGGCATGTGTGCTGCATGTTGAAATCTTACAAGCTGAAACTAGTTATCACTTCCAATGGTTTAAAGAGAACCAGCACCCCTTCCTCGCACAGTTATTATGAAAATCTGATATTTGCATATTTGTTTTGAATTGCCAAGTGGATACAACTTACAACTCAGCTTTTCTTGGTATAGAATTTGGATTGTCATGGTAGAACTGCAGTGTTAGGGTTCATTTTTGATCATAAAAACATCAGCAACAATAAAATAACCAAATGAATTCAAATGGTTGGTGCATCCATCAAGTTCAGTTCCTGATTTCTTCACATCTACAGGGAGAGTTGGACCAGGAACGACTGACTAGGCAACAGGAATTCACGGCCATGTACCAAATGCAGCACCTCCAGTACCAGCAATTTTTGTTACAGTACGTCAATGTAAAGATCTGCCTGTAGCTATGTTATGCTATTTTATTTATTTATTTAGAAAATTTCTATGCCGCCCCATTCGCTGAAGCCTCGGGGCGGCTCACAAAACATCTGATTTATGCCTCATTAATTCCTGAGTAGTGATGGAAGATTAGTTCATGCCAACTTTACATTCATAATTCTGTTGTCTATCCACATCAGTTTGCAATTTATAATTTTAAAAAACTTTTAATGCACTTTATAAGATGCAGTGTTTGTGTTTTTACCACAAAATACTTACTTTTGTATGCATTTATATGCTGGAGTCATGCCCTCCTCCACCAGTAGGATCCTTTATTGGATTAAAAACTTTTAATGAACAGAAGGATCCAAATCATTATAGCTGAAGTGAATGTCATATATGTTGATTATTCACTTTTCCTCTGCAGTAGGATTCAGTTCCTAATTTTTACAGGGTGTATTTTTTCTGGTTTTTAGTGACCTGCTTGAATATTATTGTGATACTCCTTTGTGGTTCTATTTTGTATTTTTATTAATTCCATTGGCAAGTAGTGTGAACTTTTTCTCATCCTTTTAAAGACAACAGTATGCACAGGTAATGGCACAACAGCAAAAAGCAGCCCTCTCATCTCAGCAGCAGCAGCAACTGGCTCTTCTTTTGCAGCAGTTCCAGGCACTTAAAATAAGGTAAGAATTCAGGTTTCAGAGTAACCTAATGCAACATGCAGTAGTAAATTCAGTACATTCAGCAGGAAGCTTCAGTCAAGCACAACTCCCTGACAGATTTTTGTGAATGTTTGTATGCAACATTCACTCATTACATTTTTAGGTATTCAATTAAGACATCACTGTTTGATGTACCCTCAGTATTTGCCATTAAAGGTATAATCACTCTTTTCTGATGCTACAAAATTTCTTTGTGTTCTGTCCAGCTGGTGTCCCTGGTTTGTGGAGTGCTCTTTGATCAAATTGAAACTTTTGTTAGCCAACTGTGAGGGATGGTTGTTTGATTTTTTTTTTGGTGATTCCCATCCCTTCTGTACCCCCCCCCCCCCAATAATCTGCCTCAGACAGTGGAGGACCGTTAGGAATAGCATGGAAAGAGGAGAGGTATATAGGAAGAATTTCTGAAAATAACCTCAATCCCCATTTGATCTTCTGGATTAAAGAGCCTTCTGTCTGGAGAGGGGGACCAGTTGGATACAACCTTTTGTGTCAGTACCATTAAAGTTATGAAGCTTTCTTAGATCATGAAAGTAAAATTCACTAAGGGCTAGATAAGATACCAGACATACAGGCTAGTGGTCAGTAGTTGAAGCCTGTTTTACTAACTGATCTTTGCACTAAAATTCTGACCAGTAATGTTTTGTCAAACTCAGACATCTGGATTTTTTTCGCTAATTTAGAGTGAAAAGGAAGATAGGCAGTAATGCTACTGTAGTACTGGTTGTTGGAAGGATGGAGAAAAAGAGGGGAATTGTATAAAAGCTTTTAAAAAAGTGAATCCATTGCAACATTTGGGATGAGCTATCTTTTTAAAGTAACATATTGAATTCCTCTCTCCATATTACAGAAAAGCTGAGCAGAACATGGTGCCACCTGTAACAAGGTCTGTGTCAGTGCCAGACACTGGTTCTATTTGGGAGCTTCAATCAGCTGCTCCACAAGCTACTGGTAGGAAACCCAGTTTTGAATGCTTTGATACTGGCTGCATTCAGACATAATACCAAACCAAAATGTGCAATAACAAACTGGCTTGTAATAGTATTCAAAGTAGTCCCAACTCCAAAATTATAGTTTGTGAATGATTGCCAAACCAGGATCTGAAATCCTGGATTGAAGCTAATTTGCAAACCATAGTTTGGAAAACTTGCTGTTGCATCCTCCAAACCCAAAAATCCATTGCAGTTGCAATCAAACCCACAAACTATGATTTGAGACAGTGCTTTGCCTTCAGAGGCTGACTGGATAAGAGAGCAGAGAGAACATGTGAACTTTTTTATTCTCTCCAATTTTACTATAACTTGATGTTAGCATGCCTAGTTTTAATGTCCTTTTGTTTTTTAAAAAGTTTTATTAGATCTTTACACTGCTCTTGACTTTTGCTCTATTTTTATACTTTCATTTTATTCTGTTTTGAAATTTTAAAGATTTATATTTTATCATTTTGTCTTTTGGGTGTGAACTTTTCTGAAACACCCAGGTAGCTTTGACTGTTGGCTGGAATGAAAAAGCAGCAAAATTAAAAGTGTGGAAAACTCTTGTTTATAAGGGTTTGTTTTTTGTTTACTTTCATTTTACTATAATTATTCTAATTATTATCTGTAACTATTTGATTACAGATTACCCATCTGTATTGTCTTTCTATTTTCTGCTTATTTAAGATCTTTTGATTAGCTAAAAGTATTCATCCCTTATCACACAGTATGTATTAAAAATTAAATCCTTGTCTGTACTTTTTCTAACAACTCATGCTGGATTTGTCCAAATGATGCACCATGATATTCTTATTATTCTCAGTGAAATGGTCAGATGAGATAACTAGTTACTAATCTTTCCACTTTCCTAATGTAAATATTAATTAGTCTGCCTCAGCTTATTTGTTTCCTGTTTGCTTTGCAGTCTGGGAAGGAAGCAGTGTGTGGGATCTCCCAATTGATACTGCAGCTCAGGGACCAGCTCTAGAACAGTTGCAGCAGCTTGAAAAGGCCAAAGCAGCAAAGGTGAGGCATAGTGGATGTTCTACTACTACATCTCATTGGCAATTCCAGTTTCAGCCTCCATCTCACCTGAGTAACTGACATGGGCTATGCCGATCTCTCATAATTATGGTTCTCCAAATGATTAATGAATTGCCAAATTCTGGAGCAGGTCTTTTACAAGAGACAACAAAGACATGAAAAAACCCAATAGCAACAGTGGCTACAGAGAAGAAACCATTTAATATTTTAACCAATGAGATTCATACAACCAGTGGTAACATATTTCACTTCAGTTTTCACTTCCAATGCTACTTTTATACCTTCAGCTAGAGCAGGAGCGAAGAGAAGCTGAACTTAGGGCCAAAAGAGAAGAGGAAGAACGGAAAAGACAGGAGGAGATTCGGAGGCAACAGGAAGAGCTGATCAGGAGGCAAGAGGAAGAAAGAAAAAGAAGAGAAGAGGAGGAGCTAGCACGCAGGAAGCAGGTGACATCCTAGATGTGCACAAATAAGAATTACTGCAGTATAATAAAAAGCCCATTTTCACAATTGCATATGTGTGGGGGGCATCAGGCAGAAGTTACCTCCTCCTTATAATTGTATACTGCCTTGCTGTCTGTCTGTCTGTCTGTCTGTCTGTCTGTCTGTCTGTCTATCTAAAACATTTATATGCCGTTCTTTGCGACAATTTCTCAGGACGGCTTACAACATTATGAGTGAAATTTTAATTTGTCTTTTTAGTGCTGGATTTCTTTTCTTCATATTTGTCCTAAGGGATTAGTTTTCAGTTTGCACAATGGCAAAGATATATTCATTCATTTAATATATTTTCACCCTACTTTTCAAGATACATTTCCTTCATAAAGCACATTAGCAGAAGGAAAAACCCTACAAAATTTCCAGTACAGTGGACCGGTCAAATATGAACTTAAATAAAAATATTTTCAAAATTCTTTTAAAAAGCAGCCATACAGACCTCCTTGAGGACAGAGTTCCAAAAATGTAGGGGCACTACTAAGAACTCCTTGTCCCTGGTGATCACCAGTAACAACTCTTACCATCAGGTCCAACAGCAAGATCTTTGCATTTATATGAATTTGGATAATCTAATCCAAAACCATTTAGGACTTTAAAAGATCAAACCAAGAGTTACAAATTCAGAATTGAAAGGATAATCAGGACTTGCAGGTCCAAACATATAAGATCAGTTCTGGTCCAGTTGCATTGGCTGCCTGTATGCTTCCAATCTCAATTCAAGGGGCTATTTTTAACCTATAAAGCCTTACATGGCTTAGGACTGCAGTCTCTGTCAGAGCACCTCTTCCAGTGGTGGTCTTTGCAGATGCTACATTCAGCCTCTGAGGCTTTCCTCCAAGTGCTGACTCCATGGGAAACACAGAGGGTAGCAACAAAGGGGAGGACTTTCTCTGTGTTGACCCCCTGCTGATGGTGCAACCTCCTTGCTGTGACTTGGCTGAATCTGTCATCTCTCTGGTGCAAGGTTAAAATGGCCCTCTTCTCTGTGGCCTTTAAAGACTTGCTCAGCCACCAAGGGGCCTGAGGTAGATGACCCATCCATCCCTTTGTTTTTGCAGTGTCTCCCTTTGTTACCGTCTTTTTTAGCTATTTAAAACTTTTAATGTTTTCTGATTTTTTTGCATCTTATTGTCAGTTTTATGAATTGTAAACCACCAGGAGAGCATCAGCTTTAGGGCAGTATAGAAATGAAATAGCAGCAGCAACCACAGCTGCAGCCCTTTCATCCCCGGCAATGCATCCAATGCCCAGCTTAGCGACTACATAAGAATATAATGACTGATGGTACTGAACATTTCCAGTCAAAGAATATCAACAATGACACACACTCCTTGTCTCCCTTTAAACAGAGGTTATCATACAGGGCAACCAAGTCTATTTCAGTGTCCAAACCAAGCCCAAACTCTGATTGAAAAGGTTCCAAAAGTTATTACTGTCTCTAGAAATACCTTGGTTTCTCAATTAGTAGCATTACCACCAAGAGTAATGACAGTAGTGTCCTAGAAGCCATAAAATAATATCTTAATTTAGTAAAGTTTTAGTATAACTGAAAATCGATATTGTGTAATATACAGATATTTGTCATCCTTTCAGCCAACAAGAAACAACTTTATTTGTGTGTGTGTGCGCATGCGTGCGCCGTCCTGTCACAAAAGCCTCAGGACGGCTCACACTTCTGGCTGTAGCCATTTAATGTCTGTCTTACTTATTTTTCCAGGAGGAAGCTCTGAGACGGCAACGGGAACAAGAAATTGCACTACGACGGCAGCGGGAAGAAGAAGAACGACAACAACAAGAAGAAGCACTTAGAAGATTGGAGGAAAGGAGAAGAGAAGAAGAGGAAAGACGGCAGCGGGAAGAGGTGAAAAGAAGGGTAAAAATCTTTTCATATTAAGAATTGCCAGAACCAAAGGCTGCTACATACTTGCATGTTCACTGTTTGACTGTGTTTGAATGAGTGACCTTTTATAAATCAAGCAGTACAGAGAGATCTTTTATTTTGGTTTAATACAAGGCATTTGAGGATTTCAGAACTGAGGAACGGTCTTAACATTTTCGATTGTAGAATGAAAAACAATGAAAGGTGTGATGGCTCTTTGAGCACTGTCCTAGGGGACATTCTGAGCTAGCTATATTTCCATCTTATAATAAATTATAGAACAAGTCATATTCTTTGAAACAAAGGATAGCATTTTAATTTAGAACTTCATAGAGCTTGCATATTATTTCTGTTCTGGGAAGGAAGAGGAGGCTGCCAAATGGGCACGTGAGGAAGAGGCGAAGCGTCAGTTAGAAGAAAATAGGTTGCGCATGGAAGAGGAAGCAGCCCGACAGAGGCATGAAGAGGAAGAACGAAAGCGAAAGGAGCTGGAACTCCAACGTCAGAAAGAAATTATGAGGCAGAGGCAGCAACAGCAGGAGGCTTTGCGCCGATTGCAACAGCAGCAACAGCAGCAGCAACTTGCACAGATGAAGGTACGAGTAATCATGCAATCACCAAGAGTGAGACTAGTTACCATTAATTTAATTTATATCTACACTGCTCAATAGCTCAGAGCTCTCTGGGTGGTATACAACAGTTGATAAATACAATAAAATGCAATAGAAAATATAATTAACAATATAATATCATAACATTCAGCTAAAATTTAAAGGACATGTTCAGAGTTTAACAACTTATGCAACCAAGCCAAGTCCACTCTGCTAGGCATACAACTGACAGTACTCCCATATGCTGCTTGGAGTTGATAAGAGGCAAAGAAAATAGTCTTAACTTGGTAGTGAAAAGTTAGAAAATTGGGTACCAGCTGGGCCTTAGTGGAGATACAATGCTATAATTTGGGGGCTACTGCAGAGAAACTCCTCCTCCTCATTGCTACCAGTTGAGCCTTGGAAATGGCGTTCAGAGCAAGGTCTCAGATGTTGAGTGTAAGCTTTATGAGCACTCTTTTCTTTTGAGTGCTCTCTTCCTTCTGTTTCTAAACTACTAACCTTCGTTTGCTGATTTCTGACTGTGGCCACATTAGTATTTATTTATTTATTTATTTATTTATTTATACATTTATTTATTTTTGAATTTGTATGCCACTCACTAATCCAGATGGCAACAGGTTGGGTGAAGCGCTGAACAGTTAAAATGTCTCTGATTGAGTAATCAACTTTTTGGTGTCTTTATCTTCTCCATTAAGAGTTCATAACTGTGCTTTTGTTGCCAGCTTCCTTCTTCTTCAACATGGGGTCAGCAAGCCAATTCAAGAGCATGTCAGTCCCAGACAACATTATCACTAGCAGAAATCCAGAAGCTTGAAGAAGAGAGAGAGCGGCAGCTTCAAGAAGAGGTAAATTTTGTAGTTTGAAAAATAAGATTCCGGTAGCTGCTGCAACAGAATCGCGTTTGTTGCCATAAGCCTGTGATGTCCTGCCTGATGTCCTCTGGTCCCTTTTTACATTTAAGAAGTCAATAATTTCTTACCTAAAGACCCTGGCTTGTTGATTTGTGTGCAGTTGTGGTTTATATCTACTTGGGGTCGCTCTGAAACTTGCCCAGTGTTTTCTTGTGAGTAAACTTAAGAAGTCCAGATATGCAGAAACATTTTCCCCATGCAGGAAGCTGCTGTTTATATTAGACAAAAGAAGGAAATGATTTTTAACTGGAGATTTCCATGTTTAATTGCTACATGCCTCAGAGGGAAGAAAGGGATACATGTGTGTGCAAGGCATTTGCTTATTAAGTTAAACATGGCCACAGTCTTAGATTTTCAGGACTGTAATAGTAGAGTTCTTTAATATTTTATTAAAATACCATCTGGTTAAGTTATTCAGAAATATACAGGGAGTTAAAAACCCAAAACAGTAAGTAATATAATTAACTATGCTGATTCTGAAATTGAATCTGAGAGTTTTTCATTAATGTTCAAATAAGGGATTTTTGTAGAGAAGTAATTTGCTCTGCCACTGGTATTTGCTTGATGGGAAAGCAGACTCCAAAAGTATGTGTGTCCAGGTATAGTTTTCAAAATTAGAGATTAATCTAAAGGTAAGTGATCAATTTTGATTGATGTGTTGGGGACCAGTTTGGTTATCCATACTGAAACATTACTGTTTACATTCATTCAGCTATGATTAAAATATTTTTTCTAAAAAGCAGTGAAAGATAGTCGTATGTACATTAAGAACTGGAATACTGTGCATTGACTGTCTTAACAGCAACGGCGTCAGCAGCACGAACTAATGAAAGCCCTGCAGCAGCAGCAACAGCAGCAGCAACAAAAACTGTCTGGTTGGGGAAATGTTGCCAAACCTGCTGCCAGTACAAAGTCTCTTTTGGAGATACAGCAGGAAGAGGCAAGGCAGATGCAAAAGCAGCAGCAGCAACACCAGCAGCAACAAAACAGGTCCCGCAGCACTACAGTGAGTACAGTGTCTAACTTCCAGTTTAAAAAAAAAAATAAGCCTCTTGTTGAAGTCCACACTTACATAGTTGCATTGCTTTTCCTCTGTGGCTGATGATAATGAATAGTTTTTCCCTTACTGTTGTTGCAGCAGCATTCTAATCTGCACACCAGCATTGGCAATTCAGTCTGGGGCTCTGTAAACACGAATCCTAGCAGCCAGTGGGCATCAGACCTTGTCAGCAGTATTTGGAGCAATGCTGACACTAAAAATTCAAACCTGGGATTCTGGGATGATGCAGTCAAAGAAGTGGGACCTCGTAATGCAACGAATAAAAACAAGAGCAATGCTAGCATCAGGTAGGAAGTGGTATGCCATGAGCTTTCCTGCCTTTCCCTGTAGATGCGAGACCTTTTCCAAGCCCTCTAAACTCTCCTAGCAGATGGAATCTTTCCAACAAACTCCAGCTTGTTCCATCAGCAGAGCCAGGATCTTTTAGACTCCCTCCTATTTTTTGTTAGTTGCTGTCTCAGTGTACTTTTTATTAGAGCTTTGGCTAAGGGGTGGTATAGAGGAGATTATGATAGTAATGCTGCTGATGAAAGTTTCTGAGAGGCTGCTTGAATTTTTTAGTCTTGCATACTTTTCATGTTCCTTCCTTTCAGTCTTTTCCTCATACTCTGTTTTTGTTTGGTATAGTAAATCTATAGGTGTTACAAGCAGGCAGAATAAGAAGGTGGAAGAAGAAGAAAAATTGTTGAAGTTGTTCCAGGGGGTTAATAAATCCCAGGATGGCTTCACTCAGTGGTGTGAACAGATGCTTCATGCACTCAACACAGCCAACAATTTGGATGGTAAGTAGTGGATCATACTAAATATACTACCTGGTATTTGGCTGCACCTGGGTCAGAACTGTATTTAAAAACATTAAGGAAAATAGGAGAAATGCAGAAGGTCCAGTAGCCCACTTCTTATTCTTGGGATAGCATAAATAATTGGTTGATGTGCCAATTCATATTCTATTTATTATTAAATTGTATATCTTACCGCAGGGCTTAGGGCACTGATGAAAAGTTTGATGAGGTAAGCACTGACAACTCAAGCTGAGCTTGAGACTTTCATCTTCATGACTTATTTTGTATCTCAGTGACTGGGGACTGGGCTTTCTATTGTCTTGCAGGCAAAGATAATCTTGTGCTATATGGTGTCTGAAGGAATATTCATCAAACATCTGATATTGAAAAGTTCTGGGTTCTTGTTTACATCTTATGGTTCATCTTTCTGTTGCAGTTCCCACTTTTGTTTCCTTCCTGAAGGAAGTGGAATCTCCTTATGAGGTCCATGATTACATCAGAGCTTACCTTGGAGACACCCCTGAGGCTAAGGAATTTGCCAAGCAGTTTCTTGAACGCCGTGCCAAACAAAAAGCCAACCAACAGCGGCAGCAGCAGGTTCATTTTTTTTCCCTTTGGAGAACTTTTATAAGTACATTATTGTCATTAATTATGGAACAAGAGATCTCCCTCTGATGGATGTAGGATTGGTAATCAGTTTTTGAGAGGAGGGCAGGTTTTATTATGGAATACTTAGAAGATATTTGTTGTGTTACCTGCATAGCTGTTCCTCAGACCTCATGTAGATAACATGGAAATATGATGACATAAGGTGGGAGGGAGAGTATGTTAGGAAACTGAGGTGCTGATGTGCCCCCTGTGATGTGGATAGTGAATCGTTATCCTTTTTGAGTACTACATATTGTAATATATTATGTGTTTGTATTTCAGGATTCTGTCTGGGGGATAAACCATAGTTCATTACATTCAGTCTTTCAGACTAATCAAAGCAACAACCAGCAATCTAACTTTGAGGCAGTGCAGAGTGGCAAAAAGAAGAAGAAACAAAAAATGGTTCGTGCAGATCCCAGCTTGTTAGGTGGGTACTGGATTGCTCTAAACTGGAATAAAAATGTCTTAAAATCCTTATTCCAAAAGTCTTGCTCATATTTCTGCTGTGACAGAGCAACAACATGTTTTTGTGTTATATTAAATAAAAGGAAAAAAAGAGAAACTAAGGGTCATTGAGTGCTCCAGTGCTTTCTTCCCCTCTTTGAGTTACAACCATTAGTTTAGTTTAGTTGTTGCCTGGGCATCATCACTCCAGTCCTCACTTCTCTCTGTTGCTCATTCGTATTTCTTATTTCACACATAGGTATGTTCAGGAAAACAGCTGATGAAAGTTACTCATGTTTTTTGTGCACACCTATGTTAATTTTAATCATTAACTCTGTTTCAAGTGGCAGGCTTGTAAGAGGAATCTTTTAATATATTTTTGTTATACAACTGAGTTCATTGGGATGATTCCTCACTCATGAGTTTATAGTGTAAAAATAGCTTTAGATCAGAAGTTAAAGCACCAAAAGAAATCCTAAATTGGCACAGTATTGCCTTGAATAGTCTGTAATCTATATTAATTACTTTTAAGATTGGTTATGTCTGGAAAGCCCAGGTGTGGACTAATGTAGCGGCATGCACGCGTATGCATGTGCGCGCATACACACACTCTCTCTAAAACTAAACAAAACATACCATGTCTATGACCTAAAAGCTTAGGATCTGTCTTGTTTTGCAGGTTTCTCAGTCAATGCCTCATCAGAGCGGCTGAATATGGGAGAAATAGAGACTTTGGATGACTACTGAGTATATGCAACACGACTGGCTTTTCCTGTGTCTGTTAACCATGCATTCTCCACTGCTGGACAGAGTACTTCCTATCCCCTGCAGTCATCCTTGCCTTGCAAACGGATCATAGAATCAATCATCTCAGGCTGCCATTTCTAGCCTCAACAAGTCCTTTCTGCCCAGGATTGCACAACCACCTTCATTTCTTTTGGCCTCTGGTTCTTTCTACTGGATAGGTGGGAAAGAAGATTTACTCATGAGGCTGAGTGCAAATTACTGTGTGATGATTTCTTCTCCCAAGCTATTTGGAAAGCCATTTGGAAGTTTACATATGGTAGCTTCCTTCCCTCCCCTCATCACAGATAACTGGTGCAATCATGGTGGAGAGCTCATGGTTAACAGATGTCATTCAGAACCAAAATGCCACGCAGATACTGACTTCCATGCTCCATCAGGCAAAAGATGCCTTCCAGTTTCAGGAGGTGCATTCACTAGCTAACTGTAGAACTGGCAACAACAGGGAATGGGGGTGGTAGGCAGCATTCAGCTTGGATTGGTTTGGCGTTGCACATCCCTGCCAGCCCTTCTTCAGCACATTAAATTTGGAGAAGTTCAAGTCTATCTTCATTGGGTGGTGATGTCAAAGGTGCTGGAGTTCATGCTTCAGCACACTCCAGCCTTCCTGGACAATTAGGGACTCAAGTTGTGGGAGGAGGCACTTATTTCAGGCTGAATTTCTCCTGTAATTATTTCCTCCAGAGTGATTGGGCCAGTTATTTTGGACCCTTCTGCAGTGAATTTGTCTCGTTTCAGAGACGTATAGGATCTTTACCATATGTATCTTCACCAGTTGATTTGTGTGGGAGTTGACACTACCTTTGGAATCTGAAACCTAACCAGAAATCTAGTCATCTGGTTACTTATGAAGGTGGTTCAGAATGTTGTAAGTTCTGCAGCAGCATTAACGCAAAGGAACAGGAAGCTGTCGTCTTCAGAGTGAAATAAATGAGACAAGGAACCTGAGCACTGGCAACGTCTCTGTTTGTAAAAACCACAAGGAGGGATAGAATGAGGTGTGCTGGTCCTCGTTATATCATACACTCTTCCGTTACTTCCTAGCCATTGCGCTGACATACTTATGTAATCCAACTTCTCCTGTCCCTGTTCCAGAATGTTAAACAGTCTGAAGTGGCCAGTACACTTCATTTCAACCCCCCACCCATGCTCCCACTTGCACAGGGTCACAGTGTGCCCATGGAAGATATGCTGCTGTGTGAAGATCTTTTTCTGCCATCATCGCCTGAAGAAGACAACTGAAGTTGCTCCAGAGCAGTTTGGTTTAGATTTTATTTCATTTGATTTTCTTCTCTCTCCCCCCTCTCCCACAACATGTACAGGAAGTATTCAGAGGCAGTTGCAGATTTGTGTATAGTTTTTGAATCCATTAGCACAGAGAGGCTAGGTGCTGTCACAAATCTGGTCTCCTGATCTCCTTTGCTTTGTAAACTTATAAAGGGGGGAAGGGGGTAATTAATGTTTACAGAACTTTAAATTCCCTCTGAACTCGTGCTAGTATGGGGGTAAACAAGAGAGAACTTAAATAAAACCTGGTTGTATTATACCCGAGCACATATTGTTTGCTTTTGTCAAAGCCAGCTTTGGCAATCCTTTTTGGTGCTAACTTGAAGCTCTACCAGATCCTATACAATCAAGTATACAGGACATGGAGGGATAGTAGCAGCTTTATTTTGTACCCCCAGAGGAATGTTGGTGGTTTTTCTACTTGATAATTTTAGAGATGGAAATAAACATCAGTTAAGTTGAGATTGGAAATGTTTAACAAATCTTCACTATTTCCTTCTTCCATCTGAAGACACATACCCATTCATGTTCTTGTCTTGTTTATGCAAGAAGATCAAGCCTGGCTAGTTCTTTTGAAAGCTGTAAACATGTAAAAAGAAGTTAATAAGCCCAATGTGATCAAAACAGCAAGTCCTATACTAATTGAGCATTTTTTTAAAGCAAAGCAAAGAGGTGGTTCTCTAGCCTAAACCTAGAATACTCTTGTCTTTTAGGGATGGAAAACGGGGGGTGTTATGTAGTCCTTAAACACAGGCATAAGGAGCTTCTTGTTTTGCGTTTCCCCAGTAGTGGTTTTCATTTCCATTTTATGATGTTGAAAGAATTGCATTGAAATGTGAGGATGAGTAATCAAATGAAATGGACTGGTTGCTATATATATCATTTACATTTCTTTTCTTCCTCCTCCCCCCAACCCCAGTCAGTTTTAAGCTTACTGTATGAGTGAGACTGCAATCCTAAACTCACTTGCTTAGGATAAATCCCCATTGAACTCAGTGGTATTTACTTTTAAGTAATTATGTGTAGGATTGCACTGTTAATCATGTATTACAGTTTTAGAATGACGTTAACTGAGGTATTCTACTATAATGTAAAGAAGAATGTAGCCCTGTCCTTGGCACAGCATTTTGTTTATTTGCATAAGAATAATTCTGGGCCATAGGTGAAATAACAAAGCCATTCTAGATAAAATTTATTAAACTTTACAACAGGGAAAGAGCTTGAAGCTAACACAGTTGTGCCTTATTTGAAGGCCTTCTTGCATACATAAAAGTATCCTCTAATATTTGGATGGTACTTTGTCCAGTAAGTTTTCTGTATGAGCAGTTTCTTGAAAGGTCTGGTAAGATTTTAATCACTCAATTCATCCGTTAACATGGATAAAATCCTCCAACTGTGGCAAGTTCACCCAAATGTCTTTAACATATTGAGCTCTACATGTGTGGTTCTGTATAAGCAGCTCTCACAGGTTTCACTGTGCACGAGCTGAATTTCATGCCAAAAATCTGTGGAACACTTAAGTGAACTCAGCAGCTTGCTAGGATTGTTAAATATTACACACATGTGAACACCCCACAGTATTGTCATGATACTAGGAAATATTGATGGTTTTAATATGACTCATTCAAAAGTATCTCACTGCAAAAAAGAAAGAAATCTTGGTCATCTACATTTATATTTTGGGAAGAAAGGATGTGTGGAGACCTTGTCTGCTGCTAATGGTGCATATGGGTGTACACAGATGATCGTTTACCAGCTGGTAACTCATTTTGTTGCACATATAATCATTCGAGAAGAAAGACACCTCAGTGATTATAGATTACCATTTGCTGAGCAATAACTTGAATATTTTAAGTGTATTGTATTGTTAATTGTTTTTAAAGTATCAGCCACATTGAGTACATGTCAATGGAGAAAATGGGACCATAACTTATATAAACAAAGCACCGTAGCATACATGTAACCATTCACTAGGTTGGCCATCTATATTCACTATAGTGAACATGATGTGGGACAACCATGCATCTGTCACTGATTAGAAATCTAAGGAAGGGAGGGGAATGGCAAGTTTCACTTTGCCAGTTGGCAAGGCAGTGAAGACAATCGGGTCATCAATTGGTTATATAAACAGCTATGGTATAGACACTCTTTGGAGAAAGGGTTTCTGATAGACGCTCATCTGTATTGCACTATCAACTGGTACTATATCAGGGTACCAAGTAACCATGTAGTAAACTGGTCATCTGTATAGTACAGCCAGCTGGCAGGGATGATCTCATCATTCCTTCTATCTAAACTTTCAGATTTCAATAGAATATGGTAAGATTTTTCCTCAGTTCTTGGGATTTACCACTGGTTTATCAAGTGGTAATATATACATCATAGTAAACTACCGTATTACTATTATTGATGTCGTGTATACTGCTCAATAGTTGAAGCAAATGCCAGAGGGTAGCAGGAGGTCTTAACCTTGTATTGGAAAGATATCACAGTTGGTCCCAGGCAGCTTCAATGTATTCTCATCTTGTATTCTCTTACCAAAACTTGGCAAAAGATAAACTTCATTCAGCCAAAGGTGAACGTTTGCCAACTGGTAATTTGCCATTTGCAAAGCAGAGTAGTGGGTAAGGACTGGGAGACCCATGGTCAAATCCCTACTTAGCTACGATGTTCACTGAATGATTTTGCCCAGTCAGTATTTCTCAGCCTAACCTACCTCACAGGGTTGTTGTGAGGAGAAAATGGAATATGTGTGCCATTTTGAACTCCTTGGAAAGAAGCCAGGCTATAACTTCATTTTAAAATGAGAGAGAGATATTTTGTAGAGACCGCAAGCATACCAAGTAGTTCCATAAAACCCTTTGGGAAATTGTAAACTGACAAATGGCCATCTGTATTTACCCATTAACAATCTTATTTTCTCCCACTATGGTTTTGAATGATATTGTGCATTGCAAAGGCATCATGATGACCTTGGAAATACTGAAAAAAACAGTAATTTTGTGTGTGGAAAGGAACATTGACCTTGAAAATCAGGTGCTAAATCCTATTTTGAATGGGAAATCTCTGTCACACACTCTGCATGTATTTTTTAGCATGTCTCAGGAATCTCACCTCAGAAGGTCATATGTGGAATCAATGTTGATAGGCTCAGGGTATGCAATTGTCTTGCCAGAAGACTGAGCAAGACAGTCATCCAAAATGCTCTCTGTTGTGGTAGTTCATTATATTGCAAGTTTTATCAGAATGGAATACTCATTAACAACACAATTAGGGTCTAATAATATAATACTGTCATTTCAAAAGCGATCAGCACCCAACTTGGAATAAAAAGATGGGACTCTATATACAATAAAATTAGTGGGTTTTTTGTAGAGACAAATCATTATCCGCAGTTTATAACCCATTAAAAAAAATTCAGCATGGTAGGAGATTGGTTCTTAAAATGGTTATAGCATACTTACTTTTTTCTCACTTTTCAAAAATAAAGGCTTACTGTGAAGTTGACCAGCAGGGGAAGTTATTTGAATAACTCTTTGTCTTTCCAGTAAAATCAGTGTTGATGTTGCATTTTGAATGTAAACATTAAGACTAGCTCATTGCTCCTAAGAATTTTGAAGTGCCCAACTGAACTGGAAAATTTTACCTGATGCAGTGAGATCACAAGTAAACTGAGTGCTGGCAGATATTCACTCTGAAATGTTTTTTTCTGGATGTCTATTTTCTGCCTTTATTTTAAGTGTTCATTCAGTAAGAATTCAGTGACACTTTGAAGGAAATGCATTTGAACATTGAGGTATCTGTTTGTTAAAGCTCTGCAAAATATCTGCAACATTCAAATCAAGCCCTTTGTGTATACCATTATTACAAGTTCTCCACTGAGGGACAAATTTGATGTTGCTCTCCATCATCTCTGAGCAATGAGGACGATTTATTTTTTTAAAATCCAGATGCCCATACTTAAAATCTATTTATCAGAGAAAAATATAATAAACTGGGATTTGATAAAAAGTGGCAAATGAATGCATATCTGTTGTCTATCCAGCCTGCACTGAGAAGGTAGTTATGTCTAGTCAGGCACTTCTGATGCCTATTACCTTAAAGGTTCTGTGGTCATCACTATCTGCCAATTGTATGTTGGTCTTGAGGTGGTCACTGCATACTGGCAGGATGTATAGCACAGCCTATCCAAATATATGCTTGCTTTGGGTTGAGCATTTTTAATGAATGCTGTTATTCACCACTGTCCTTTGTATAGGGTAATGCTATATGTGTACTTGAGTTGTAACAAACTTGATGCCGTCCTTGGCGCCTATTGGGTTTTGAATCTAACTGTCAGAGAGTGTGTGCACTACTGTGGTGGGGAGGGCCAGCAGAACTGGGAGAGGTGGGGGAGCACAGACAAAAGTGGTGGAGCTGCCATCTGGCATGAGGAGATAGGTCTGTTTTGAATTAGTGCATGTGAATAAGACTGAAGAGTGTTTGCATTTCTCTGTGTGTGTACACATGTGAAGAGACAAGGTTTTCATTTAGCCTCCGAAAGCTTGCTTGTTCATTAAGGCTTCAGAGAGTTTGAGCGTTCTCAAAGGCATCTCAGTTCCTGAAGGAGGCAATGCTCCACACCAAGGTCCTTCGTCTCATCCTGCTGACACTGTCTGGAGTCTTGGTCCCTTCTGTAAAAACAGGTAAGTTGAATTTCTTCTCTTTGGGCACTATCACATCCCAGATCACATTACCACTTATATTTTTACTATTAACTTTCTTATTTGTTCCCCTTCCTCAGCATCCTGCATTTCTTAATTTATGTAGCTAGTCCTTAGCAAAATAAGTTTTTAAGAGGGTGACATTAGCAGGAAATATTTTGTGGATATTCCAGTGGTTTCTTCCAGAGGAGACAATATAGTTTGTTTCCATCAGATGGATCCACAGCAGTATCTTAAAGTCTTAATGAAGAAGCTGTCTCTTTGGATCATCAATGACAGACTGAATGCAGTTTGCAATTCCATGCTTGATACTGCACAAGTCTGGGATTTGGTACTAGATACAGAATTTGGCATCATGGGAATCCTATATTTCCGTATTTCTTTTTTTTTAAGTAAGTGTCTAATAGTGGTCTGTGAAGAAGACTTCCTTGAGCAATGCCTGGTGAAATCTCAAAAATGAGTGGCCAAGAAGAAAAGTATCAATGTTATTCCTAGTTCCTTGCCTTTTCCTTTAATTAGTAGAAGATAATGTGTTAGACAGGCAAGGTGCATAGTT